TGCATATATTTATGGTTTACAATGATATTTTGAAATATGCATACATTGTGGAATGGCTAAATTGAGCTAATTAACATATGTATTACCTCATATCCTTATTTATTTTTGTGGTGATAACACTTAAAATATACTCTCAGTGATCTTTAAGACTATAATACATTGTTATTAACTATAGTCACCACATTATACAACAAATCTCTTAAACTTATTCTTATCTAACTGAAATGTTGCACCCTTTGGCCAACATCTTCCCCAACCTTGCCCACACCATCCCACCCCTGGTAATCATTATTCTACTCTCTGTATCTGTAAATTCACACTTTTAAGATTCCAAATATTAGTGAGATCATGCTATAATTGTATTTCTGTATCTGGCTTATTTCACTTAACATAATGTCCTTTAGTTTCATCCATGTTGTCTTGAATGACAGAAATTCTTTCTTTTCATAAGGCTTAATAATATTCTAGTGTGTATCTGTATCACAGTTTCTTTATCCTTTGATACACTGATAGGCACTTAAGTTGATTTCATATCTTGATTATTGTGAATAGTGCTGCCAAAAACACGGAAGTGCAGATATCTCTTGGACATAATGATTTCATTTCTTACAGATATATGCCCAGTAAGTGGGATTGCTGGACCATATGGTAGTTCTATTTTTATTTTTTAGGACCCTCCATACTATTTTCCATAATGACTGTACTAATTTAAACTTCCATGCATCTGATGTTTCGTTATGATGATATTACATGATAACTAAGGGGGAATATTGAGATAAAATAAGCAGATGAATACAAGAGACAGTTAAGAGACTGACTTCATAATATTGGCAACAGATTGGAGGTTGATTAAACCTCAATGTGCTTGTCATACTAGCAAAAGAGGAACAGACTTGTTTTATTTATTATTTGTTTTTGTTTTTGATTCTTTTTTTGAGACAAAGTATTGTTCTGTTGCACAGGCTGGAGTGCACTGGCATGATCTCAGCTCGCTACAACCTCTGCCTCCCAGGTTCAAGCTATTTCTGGCTAATTTTTGTATTTTTAGTAGAGACAGGGTCTCACCATTTTGGTCAGGCTGGTCTCGAACTCCTGACCTCAAGTAACCTGCCTGCCTTGGCCTCCCAAAGTGCTGGGATTATAGGCGGGAGCCACTGTGCCCAGCCAGACTTATTTTATAACAACTTTATTGAAGTAAAATTGGCATGCAATTAACTGCACGTATTCAAAGTGAACACTTTGGTAAGGTTTAGTAAAATGTATATACCTGTGAAAACATAACCAAATTAAAATAGAGAACATATCCATCACCACTGCAGGTTACCGTCTGCTCTTTTATAATTCTTCCCTGAACCCTCCCCATGCCCCCATTTATTTTCTAGAGTTTGTGTAAATGGAATTATACAGTACATGTCCTATTTTTCCATTGGCTTCTTTCATTTTGCATAATTTTTAAAATATTCAACCATGTGTATATATCAGTACAACAGCTCATTCCATTTCATTGCTGACTAATCTATTATATGAACATACCATATTATGTTTATCTATTCATGGGTTGGTGGGCATTTGTGTTGTTCCAGTTTGAGTCTATTACAGAAAAGCTCCTATGATATTTATAATCAAATCTTTGTATGTACATATGCTCTATTTTCTTTTGGATAAATGCCAAAAATAAGAATGGTAGCATCATTGGTAGATGAATATTTAATTTAAAACCAAAGCAAACAAAACTGCAAACTTTTTTTTAAAAAGGCTCACTATTTATATTTTGTTGTTCAATATATGAATGTTTAAGTGTCTGCAAATATATATCAACATATGTTTTGATTAGTTGTTTTTTTTTTAATTTTAGACGTTCTAATAGGTATGCAGTGATATCTCATTGTGACTTTGATTTGCATTTCCCTAATGTCCAATGGATGTTGAGCATCTTTTCATGTGTCTATTTGCCATCTATATATCTTTTGATGCTATCTCTTCAAATTTTGGTCCCCATTTTGTATTTGAGTATTTTTGTTTCCTCCTTATTATATTTGGATAATTATATTTGGTTGGGGAGAAGTTGAGTTACGTAATACAGTGGGTTTTTCTTTCTTTCTTTTTAATGGCAGGAACTCTGTAAGTCTTATGCTATGAGTGGATGGAGAAGAGTTTATGTTTCATCTATATAGATGTTAGATGTTGTGCCGCTTATCAACACAATGCACTCAGATGGGTAAATAGTGTTATGGTCCAAAAGGTTAATTAAATTGTGAACTTACTGAATTTTATGTATGTGTGTGCTTTCAAGTGACAGTTTTCCAAAATAAGAGATATGTGGATAATTTAACCTTAGGAAAGTGATGAAACCAAGCAGAACTATACTAGTCACAGTTTTCCTTATATTGGAGAGTCCGAGTACATACAACTACCACCTACCAGATGTTTTCTCTCAGATAATCCTTATACACATATTTCTTCTGTATCCTTGGAATTCTTTACTAAGGTTACAGTACTAGACTACATCAAAGCTTTATGATCCTTCTTTTTTCCAGCCTTCAATTTTTTCCATTATATTGCATAAAAGCCCTACCATCACAAGATGACAATCATATACTAGTTGCTTAATTCCTCTTTTGTCTAAGCAATGTAATGTTTTATTCTATTTAAAATATACGAGTCTTCAGAAATCTCTTAGGAAGATTTAATTGTAACAGAAGACTGATATGGGAAATGGTTTTAGATATATGACTTTTTACGGACCTTTTAAAATTGCCTTTTATAAATGTAGCTGTCTGCCTATGTGTAGGGTCCTCTCATTTTGCAACGTTATTGATACTTTTCTCTTCCTTATTTCTTTTATTTATAGCCATTTATTATCAATCCTTGTGACATTATTCAAGAGGTAGAGGAAAATGAATAGTTTGGAAGACAGGGATCTAAGGCCCCAATTCACCACTGTGATATTTCTTCAATGTTTCCAGAACATTAATTTGGGCTAACAATCATATTTAATAAAATGGTGTTAAAAACAAAGTTTTCTAGATTTTAAAATTATTTATGAACTTGAAGTATATTTGGAGCATTTGAAACATCAACTTTTTGTAAACTATAGAATCAAAAACTAAATACTAGACAACTACTAGAAAATAAGTTACTGTGGATGTTATGCTTTAAATTGTCTGGCAAAAAGATATGTCCAAACCCCAAGTGCCTGCCTCAGAACATGACTTTATTTGGAAATAGATAATTGCACAAGAAATTACTGAAGATGAGGTCATTGGAGAGTGGGACTGACTCTTACTCCAATTTGACTGGTTATCTTATAAAAAGAGAGAAGATGATATGAAATGAGACATATAGAAAGAACGCCATGTGATGGTAGAGGCAGAGATTGGAATGACACTGTGTCAAGCTAAGGAATGCCTTGAATTCACATTTACCAGAAGGTTGCTAAAGGCAAGGAGAGATTCTACGCAGAATCTCAGAGAAAGCATTGCACTGCCAACACTCTGGTTTTGGAATTCACATTTTCAGAACCGGGAGAAAAAATGTTATGTTGTTTTAAGCCACCTAATTTATGGTACTTTGTTATAACAGCCCTTAGGAACCATCACAATGAACAAATAAAATTTAATAAAACCTCAGATACCATATGGACATATAGTTTATATATAAAACATTTCAATATCCACAATAATAGCAGTACCTTGGGTCAGAAAATAATCAGTGAAGTCCTTATTCATATGAAGATTCTTGGGGTTGCAGGTTGAGTTCCTTTGAACTATTGATGGTTATAGGTCTAAGTTTTCAGTGACTAATTTCTTCATGTACAATAGTTTGTTCCTTATTTTCAGGTCATCCTTTACCCTGCCTTGTGATTTGTCTTTACTTACTTGGATGTGCATTTTCTCAGGAAGCTAGCTTGAAGGCCACAGAGACCAGGATGGGAACAAGCAACGCTTGCACATGTGGCAAGTGGAAATGCTGGAAATGACAATGAGGGAGAGGAAATGATACATGCCTCATTTTTAGGAACATAACTGTGGCTGTTTAAAAAAAGAATGAAAGCTCATTATTCAATAATCCTTGTAAAAAATAAAGGACCTAGATGAAAGAGATGGCAGAGAGGCTGGAGAGATAGATGGTGCAGCCAGGGAGGAACACCCCAAATGTTTGATCAGCCAGAATCAGTGACAATTAGTTTAACCAATAAAGAATAAAAAATAAAATGATGCGAAAGAATAATTTCCATTCAACAGATACTTTACTCCTTATTCCTGTCTGCTTTGTGAAAATGATATCAAAGAGTGACAGAGTTACAGGGAACTATAACTCTTTTTGGCTCTCTTTCTTTTTTGGCTCTTTTATGTGT